TTACCAATCCCCCGCATAGCAGATTGATTGATACACTCAGTCAAGCATCGATATTCACTAAGATCGATCTGCGATGGGGATACAACAATGTTCGCATCCGGAAGGGTGACGAATGGAAGACGGCTTTCATCACACATCGAGGGCTATATGAAGCCACAGTCATGTACTTCGGATTCTGCAACGCACCAGGAACTTTCCAAGCAATGATGAATGACGTACTCGGTGATTTCATACGAGGAGGAAAAGTCATAGTCTACCTTGATGACATTCTCATCTGTTCGAATGATCTCAAGGAACATCGCAAGCTTACAAAGGAAGTCCTGAAGCGGCTGAGGGAGAACGATCTATTTGCCAAACCGGAAAAATGCTCCTTTGAAAAAAGCAGCATTGAGTACCTCGGCATGATTATCTCCAAAGGACATATCGAGATGGACCCGAAGAAACTTTCAGGAGTAGCCGAGTGGCCACGGCCTACTAAGGTCAAGCAAGTCCAAGCTTTCTTAGGCTTTGCAAACTTCTATCGAAGATTCATCAAGGACTTTGCCAAGTACGCCAAACCGCTCACTACGTTGACCAAGAAGGATCAACCATGGGTGTGGGATGTGGCGCAGGAAGAGGCATTTAATGGTCTGAAAGAGACCTTTACCTCAGCACCCATCCTCCGAATTCCGGATGCAACGTCCCCATTTAGACTTGAGACTGACGCCAGCGACTTTGCAACCGGCGCAGTTCTCTCTCAATTGGACCCAACTGACAAGTTGTGGCATCCAGTTGCCTTTTACTCGAAGTCACTCGATGTTCATCAGCGGAACTACGAGATATATGACAAAGAGATGCTTGCTATCATTCGAGCACTCGAGGAGTATAGGCATTATTTGGAGGGACATTCGGACAAATTCGAGATCTGGTCGGATCATCTTAATCTGACTTACTTCAAGACCGCCCAGAAGTTGACCAGGAGACAAGCAAGATGGGCTCTGTACCTCACGCGATTCAATTTTCTTTTGCGCCATAAGCCAGGAAAAACAATGCTTACCGCTGACCCTCTGTCCAGGAGGCCAGACCATGAGGAGGGGGTGAACCTCGATAATCGGGATCAAACTTTGTTGAAACCGGAGTTTTTTGTAATCAATGCAGTCGAGGCCTCCCATGAGTCGCCCGTTAATGACGATCAACTCCTGAGGGAAGTGAAGGAAGCACTCCTACAAGACAATGTGACCAAGAATTATCAGCAATTGCTGAAGTCAGGTCCTAGAGAATTCGGCAAGTCCCTTGTGGACTGGAACTATGAGAATGGATTGTTGCTTTATCGCGGCAAAGTATATATCCCCAACAGCGAGCAGGACCACTTGCGTAGGCGTATAGTTCAAATGCATCATGATCTTCCTTCAGCCGGACATCCCGGAAGGTGGAAGACATATGAACTCGTCTCACGCAACTATTGGTGGCCTAGCATGTCGGTATTTGTTAAGAAGTATGTGACTGGCTGCGACATTTGTCAACGGATGAAGAACCATCCGCAGCAGCCATATGGACCATTACAACCCAACCGTGTCCCGGAAGGGCCATGGGAAGTTATGACCGTCGACCTCATCACTCAGCTCCCAGAATCAGATGGTTATGATGCCATTTGTGTAGTCGTGGATCGATTGACAAAGCGGGCTCACTTCTACCCAATAACAAACGAGTTCTCGGCAAAGGATCTAGCAGAATTGCTATACAATCGGGTGTATCCGCTTCACGGCTTACCATCCCAGATTATATCCGACCAAGGTGTTCAGTTTGCAGCTACACTGTTCCAGGAATGGTGTAAGCTACTAGGGATAGAGTCCACCATGTCCACCACGTACCACCCACAGACTGATGGCCAGACTGAAAGAGTCAACCAAGTTCTGGAGCAATATCTTCACTGTTACATCGACTATCAACTCGTTGACTGGTCAAGGCTACTTAGCTCTGCTGAGTTTGCCTACAACAATGCAGTGCATGAGGGCACCAAGGAGACACCATTCTTTTTGGAATATGGCAGACATCCACGGGCAGGTCCAACACTTACGAAGGAGGTGCAAAGAAGCGACCTTAATGACATTGTTTGGAACCGACAACAAGCGCAGGAGCAGGCGAAAGCCGCTCTCAAACTGGCAGCCGAGCGTATGAAGTGGTATTATGACCAAGGAGTCCAGAAAGTCCCCTTCAAGGTGGGCGATAAGGTCTTACTTGACCTTCGAGACTATCAAACCACCGGTCGAAAACTCAACGCACGGTATTCGGGGCCTTTCGAGATTGTTGAAAAACTCTCTCCAGTCACCTTCAGACTGAAATGGCCACCGAGGTTGACCAAATTACATCCGGTCTTTCACGCCAGTAAGCTTATACCCTACCATGAGGCGGAAATCCCAGGCCAGAAAGGACCAGCTGCAAAGCCGGTTATCATTGATGGTCATGAAGAATGGGAAGTGGAGAAGATCCTATCCTCTCGCCGGCACTACCGCAAGCTTCAGTACCTCGTACGATGGAAAAATACCACTCCCGACGAGGATACATGGGAACCAGTAGCGAACCTCAAAGGCTCGAAGGAACTCATCAAAGAATATCACGATGCGCACCCGCATGCAATCAGGGCACTCGATGATAATGATGACAAGGTGTTTGCTCTCCTGAAAAGGGATGCAACACTTCGAGTTGAGCTACAAGGAGGTCAGGAACCCAAGAGAAAGACCGATACAGCAGCAGGCTTTGAACTGTATGCAAGTCAAAACCAGGAAGTCGCCAGTAACGCAACACTGCAGATTCCAACAGGAATCCGGATACAACTACCAGTTGGCACCTATGGGAGAATTACCCCAGTAGGGAATCCGTTAGCCAAAGGAATCCGAGCAATCGAAGGCATTATCGAGCGGGGTGACCCAGCCGAAGTCAAGGTTGTTGTTACCAACACTGGACCATCCGAGCTGAAGATCGCCAAAGGCGACCCCATTGCTCAGCTCATTATTGAGCGTATAGCCGATTGTGATCTCGAGATTA